GTTAGGGCCTGAAGTGAAGGTCAGAAAAGCGTCAATATAGCTTGCTAGGGCCCAAATTGGCCCAAGATTTCAAGTGAAAAACTTGAAATACGGCTATTGTCTGAAAACCTGGCAACCCAACCTGATATTCGATAATTCGTCCCTGTAATCTTGCATCACAGAAACAGGAAGAAAATCTTGAACATCAGTGGCTGTGACAAGTTTTCCAATCAGAGCATCATTTTGTAATGCATATTGCCGAGATATTTTCAGTACAATTACATGCATTCCACAATTGGTATTTGTAGTTATCAAATCAAGCGTAGTATGTTACTCTGCAAAGCAGTATTAATTGATGATAAGTCCCTTTCGTTTTTGTTTTATGTTTCTTTCAGCCCGAGGGAATAGAAAGAGGATATGCTTACAGTGTCTTCTTCTGTCCCAATGGTATGTATTTCCCTCATGTGTTCAAAAACTTTCTTCAGATACACCTCAAACCTTGAAAATGCATCAAGAGATTCAAACGAAGCATGGCATATTTTTTCCAGTCACTATCAGTTTGGGCTATTCCATTCTGTGTCCTTTTTCTTTGTTGGAAACAGAGGGACGTGTAAGTTTTAGAAATACCACACCATGTAAAATGTTATTTTTAAATGCTCAAATTGAAGACTGGCTGTCTGTGATGCAGGTTTTGAGTTTGAGTTCTGTTATTCCCTCCCCCATCCCCCTTTTCTGTCACAGAACGCACCCACATCTCCACCCCTAACCGCTACAGCTACCAATTCGTGGAGAAGGAAGAGGGAATGGATTTCTTCACCTTCATGTGCAAGGCCAAGAATGACGCGCACATTGCCCTGGCAGCAACCCAGGACTCATACCAGCTGTACGAGATTGTCTTGGGTGGATGGGACAACACAAGGTCGTGGATTGCCCGCTCAAAGAGAGGTCAGTTGTACAGAACCCGTTTTATCCGATGACTGCAAGGCCTCCTCTTTCCCAAATCCCCTATCTTGTAGCCTCTAAAAGACATCTTCAACTTGCGATACACTTAGAAAATTCTGTTTTAGTTTCTGGGCCTGTCATGTACAGTATTCTGTCATGGCATTTATCCTAACGTACTTCCAAAGCATTTTATTCTCATGAATAAGATTATTTTAATGGTCCTTAGTTTGAATCTTGTTCCCATCATTTCTCATTGGTCAACCAAGAATAGGTTTGCTGTTGAATAATTCTTTTTTATTTTCAGTTTTTCTTTTCATTTTTCACCCAGGCAAGTGAAGCAGAATATGACAAACTCTGCTTATAGTAACAGAAAGGATTAGGACCATAGAACAAAAGTGATATTGCTGAAATAAAATGTTATTTTCATTTCTGTACGACATTGGGGTAATAAGCTCATGATAACAGTTTCATGAATGGCTGAAGTTGAACAAGGAATAAGTTGATAAATCAAAAGATGCTATTAAGTGTAAAACAAAGAATGTGCATTAAGGAAACAGGTCTTTAAACCAGGAAATTGTGGCAGTTGTCTAGTTCACAACCAATGATTGTATGCATTCGTGAAATTGTGGGGTTTCCCTGTTAATGGTTGAAACAGATGTGGTCAACTGTATCAACATCAGGAAGCTTGAATTATTCAGAACACTTCATACAAAGTCCTACCTTAGTTACCTTATAAACAGAAAGTGTGTGATCAGTCTTAAAAAAATAACTATTAGTTACTTTTCATCGCACAAAAATGCTTGGAAATGGGAAAAAAAGTCAGAAAATTTTCTACATTTTAAAGTCACTATGATTTAACCATAGTGACTTTAAAAGGCAGAAAAATTTTCTCACTTTTTTCCATTTCTAAGCATTTATGTGTGATGAAAAGTAGTAATGTCACTTGAATGGGTCTTTTTTTGTACATGCTTGTGGGTTGTCTTTCAGGTGATGCACTTGAGACTGATCTCACCTCTGATATCGTCAGCTGGGATGAGTTCAGGGCTTTCTGGATCAGTTGGCAAGGTGGTAACATTCAGGTAGGAAGTTTGAGATTTAGTATTTCTTTGAGCAGAACCACAAATGTGTTTCTTCCAATAGGTGATAAGTAGGTCTAGAGTGAATATCGAGTCTTCAGGGCAACATTTTCAATTTCCCCCAAGATCAACTTGTAAGTTTTAATTTCTTTGATGCCAGGTCGGACACGGGGAAGTTCCCAGTAATGAGTCGGTCATCATGAGCTGGCAGGATGATAACCCGATGCCAGTCCAGTACATCGGCTTCACGACAGGGTCCGGATCCCTGGGTGAATTCAGAATCTGGAAGAAGAAGGGTAGGCCATATTCAATTGAATCTTATTGCTTCTGTCTCAAAGTGCAAATTTTTTTCTCCTTAAAAGAAGTTCACATGTCAAAAAGATGTTGTTAATTTTTTTAATGTTTTGGCAATGACTTATTTGAAATGTTTGAAATACCATCGTGCTCATGTGTGCCTGATTTATAGTCTGGCAAATAAATCAGAAAATTAAAGTTTGAAACGGGAGATCACTTTTTTGTTGAATGCAGAGATGGCTTGCATTTCAAATGGTTAATTACTGTAATTCATTGCGGAACATCATAGCCTAACTCCATGTTTCATTTCTGTATTGTTGCTTAGGTAGCAGCGAGATCTACCGAGAGGCGTTTACCTTGTCCCTCCCCTTGAACCATGTGCCAGGGTCAGAGAGGGCTGCCGCTGTTGTGATTGGTGAGTCTGTTACAGTGACAAAGCTCGCAGCATTAACAAATCCTCGCCATTTTTATGAAGAGAAGTGTATCTTATTTTTATGGTGAAATGTCTTTATTACTATACCACAAAGACTTTCCAACATTTGATAGCACATTCAAGCTATGCGGGATGTTGGAAAAATGGTGACATAACAGCCATTATTAAACCAGCACCACAGTATACAATGCGGTGCAAATTGATGTGTGAGTATCAACGGAATATTGAAAGAGTTTTTGAAATGTTATCTTTTTAACTATACATACAAGCAGTGGTGTAGCCATGGGGAGCCTGGGGGCACGTGCCCCCCCCCCACAAATTCCCAATGCCCCCTAGGTGCCCCCCCCCACTAAAAAAGTGAATGAATGTATATTGAACAAGGCTAACAAAAACTTGCCCCCCAAAGACACACCACCGAAAGCTGGTGCCCCTTTCTGCGCCCCCGCTTGTAAAATCCTAGCTACGCCGCTGCATACAAGTAACAGATATTTTTAATAGCTCACTAACAAAAGGTCTCAAATGCTATTTCAAACCCAGATAGGCCTGTAAAATTGTTAGTAAGCATGTTGATAGAACCGTACATACTCTTTCTACCTGTTAATAAAGGTCAACTCTTATCTCCCCACTACCTTACTACTACCCTGAAAAACTGATCGTATATTTTGCTCATTTAACATTTGTGGCATTTGTGCTCAGGTGACGTGATGGGACCAACCTTGAACAACCTGCACAATCTCATCCGACTGCCGTTTGGCTGCGGAGAGCAGAACATGATCCACTTTGCTCCCATCGTGTACGTAATGCACTACCTTCAGCACACCAATCAGATGGACAAGGAGACTGAGATCGAAGCCAACACCTTCCTCGTCCAAGGTATAGGCTCAACGTTTTGCACAGTGATTTCTGTATTTGTTTACTCTCTGCAGATGCAGTTTGTTATCAGTCAATTGGGCGTATGCCACTAACCAATACACTGCCCATAACAACGATTTTGTTTATCCCCCAGGCTATCAGCGTCAGTTGACCTACAGACGTCACTCAGGTTCCTATAGTGCCTTTGGGGAAAGTGACACCTCGGGCAGCATGTGGCTGACCGCCTTTGTCCTCAAATCCTTCTCTCAGTCACGCCGCTTCATCTTCATCGACCCTAAGGAGCTGGAGATGAGCAAGAAGTGGATCATCGCGCACCAGCAGGAGGACGGTTCCTTCCCGCCAGTCGGGAAGGTCCTTAACAAAGACATCCAGGTTTGAAGGAAGATGATCTTATCAATTTTGGGGTGGTTTGGGGTGGAAAATAAGACAATGGAGTGTTTCACTGGGATCAGATGGAACATCGTTAGGAAATGTTGCTTGAGAGTTGAGATAGTCTTCACATGCCGTTTTTTCTCGCCCTCAATTAGTTTTGGTAATTGAAATAAGAACATTGAGAATTTTGATTTGGAGATCAAGGTTTCCTTTAAATAGGATGCCGACTTTTTGGAGCATTGTCTCCTGTCAAGTCAAGTGATTATTTAAGCCTGATGATGGTGTTCATTGTTTTGTCTTGTCGTAATGTATTTGGCAAATTTTTATTTGTGCTATAGGGTGGAATTCAAGGCAACTCCCGGCTGCCCCTCACAGCCTACGTGCTGGTCGCTCTTATGGAGGCAGGTGTAGAATCGGATGCAGAGAAGGAGGCCGTCAGCACAGCTCAGAAGTTCCTGGAAGACAACGTCGGGTCTATTGTGGATCCATACACTGCGGCGTTGATGGCATATGCACTGACACTGCGCAACAGCCCCTTCGCTGCCATTGCCGTCCGAGTGCTGTCGTCCAAGGCCATCAGAAGAGGTGCGATGACAGTTTTGAACTAAAGCATCAGTGATGTGGCCATGAAGTGTAATGTTTTTTTCAGAGGACGCAACAATTTGTAGTCAGATTTTGGAAGGATGGCCTTGCATCTTGCATGGTCTCTGGAATTGTTTACCTGTACATGTATACTGAGAGAAAAATACCTCTTAATTTTATTTGGTGGGCTTTGAATAAGCAAAACACAGTGCATTTTTACAAAAACATGGTAACCCTTTTGTTTGATGCCATACATGCATGTTTAACTTCAAGTATCTGTGATGTGAAATGTGTGCAATTTTTTATGGGATTCAAGGTCTCCTCATGGGTGCCCGGTACCCAGTAAATATTGTTACCCATTAAACCAGCCTTTCTTTTCTTCACAGATGAGGGGTTCTTTTGTATCCTATAGTGAATTACAACAAACTGATCAAGGTGAATTTCAGTTGTTAATATTACCCCTGATATCTAACTGGTGAACTGTGGATTCTGACCACAGATAGCCTGACCTACTGGCGTCTGAGCGGAGAGGCACTGGAAACTCTCCCTTTCTTCTCTCATGTTGGGGACCTGGAACAGACGGTGACCTCAGCAGAGGTAGAGATGACAGCGTACGCCCTGCTGACATACACCGCCCGTGGGGACATTGCATATTCGCTGCCGATTGTCAAGTGGCTAACGCAACAGAGGAACGCACACGGCGGCTTCTCTTCAACACAGGTAGGACCAACAAGCCAAGTCCAATCAGCTAAGTCCATTTGCCTGGTAACCTGTTGCATAAGACATGTAAATATTTCACTGGTATGGCCCAAATCAACCAATGGTTTACTTGTCTTCACTTATCAAACTCGAGAGTGAGTCTAGTTTATGAGGTTAGTATGTGTAATGCATATCATTTCTTCAGGAGAAACACGGGCAGACTTTGCAATTACAACCTGGATACAGGTCCAAATTTTCTTTGTGAGTGCTGATAATGCTGCATCACAGTAGATAGAATGACCATTAACCACCAGGCTTTACAAGTCAGCTAACAAAGACCCATTTTTTTCAGTACGTAATTGGCCTTTTTGGGGTCCAAGTTTTTGAAGACAACTTGTTTATTCCATCAAATGTTCCTTTTAAAAGTGAAGGATGTTACACAGCAGAACTTGAAGTGCTGTTGTTTTTCTGCAGAACAAGATCTTGCACTCCGTATTTAAAACTCCCCTTTTAATAAGAAAGAAGGTTAAGAATGATTTCACCACTGATTTTGATGATATTGATCGATGCTGCTTTTGTTGTTCCATCACAGGATACGTGTGTAGCCTTGCAAGCCCTGGCAGAGTATGCTACCTTGGCCTACGTAGGCCGAGTCAATCTCAACATCTCACTGGCATACACAGACTTAGATCTCTTTGTTGAGGACTATTACCATCTGAATAATGAAAACAGTCAAGTCTTACAAGTCAAGGAGGTGAGTCCAAATCGTTTGCTACCTAATGACAGCATTGTTTGTTGCAAAAAAAAAGGGATTCTTTTTCCGGGGCACAGCAAACATTTTAAAGGTATATTTAAACATTTGTTCTTGTTTGGAAGGGCAGTACTTCTAGAACTTGAGTTTGACTTGAAAATGCCGGATCTGTATCGATGTACATGGAATGCATGTCACCAAACCTTAGTATTCGCAAAAGTGATAGAATTATCCAAGAGCCAAATGTCCGTTCTAACCAATAGTTGTTGTAGTATTCAGAAAATGTTGAACAGGTGGTCTGTTTTATATATGAAATCATTGAAGTGGTATAAACCCAATTTTGAGGAGTTGCTTTAGCAGAGAGTGGATAACACCATCTCATTTTCCAGTTTTATCAAAACTGAAGTATTTGTTTATTAGTTTTGTTGGTTCATTTTCAGATTCCAGTGTTGTCTAAGACGCTGTTCCTCAGTGCATACGGGGAAGGCTGTGGATTACTCCAGGTATGAGCCAGTCCAGTTTAAGTCTGTATATTCTATCAAAGTTGCTTGCCATTTACCATGTATTGTTTGTAAAGGTTTCCAGCTATACACATGAAGACTGTAGGCCAGTGGCGTAGCAATGGGCAGGGGGCACGTGCCCTCCCCACCCACAAAGTCCTGTTGCCCCCTCAGGTCCCCCCCCTGAAAAAAAAACAACCGATGAATGGACATTGAACAAGGCTAACAAAAACCTGCCCCAAAAAACCACACCACTGAAAGCTGGTACCCCCCATAAGATGCTGGTGCCCCCTTTTTGGTCCCCCCACTAGTAAAATTCTAGCTACACCACTGCTGTTGGCTTCATGGCATCACATGTTCTAAAGGAGAGACAACTCAGTTTCTTGTAAAAAAAAAAAGATATATAGGCCTAGTAACCGATAATTTACATTTGTCCTTGTAGGAAACGGAGCAACACCTTCAACTGATGTCTCAGTAGTGGTGACATGATGTTAGGCTGGAAATGTGGTTCAATTAAGTGTGGCTTGATTCGTATAAATGCACGCTTTGCTTGATTCATATAAATGCACGCTTTTCTACTACAGATCAATATGAAGTACAACATCCCAGACCCTACCGGGAAACCGGCTTTCAAGCTCACTGTGAACATGATTGAGTCGGTCCCGTACCAGACCCGACGCAGACGATATGTCGACAGCACCACTACCGAGAACCTGACACCACCCCACGACAACTACATGGTCACCATGGAGGTATGCACCAGGTGAGTGCCGTGACTGAGTAGCATGTTGACCTTCTGATATCATCCATGTGTGAAGCCAGCTCACAACCTATGGGTTTGACAGAAGTCCCAGTAAATCTTGAGTACAGGTTTGCTGGCGAGCACAAAGAGCCAAATATCATTGGTGGTGAGACAGAATTAGTGATCTGTGGGACATGCACACTTTTGTGATAAAAGTTATGCAAGTAGGATCCTATGTTAAGTTATGTGGGGATTTTCGAACCCTCTAGAGGGTTGGAATGACCTCCAACTACATTGACACCCCCCTTATCTTCCTAGAAACTTGATCCAGCTTCACCCTTGGGTTCCTTAGTGTAGTTATGTTTTACCATATCCTTCAAAAAAACCTAACGTGTTGATTGCGTTGTGGCTTATTCTTGAAGTTCTTTAATCTCCTCTTTTTCTTCATTGGCCATGTTAATCCTAGTTTGTTGACCACTTGATTGTATGATGACTGAAGTGGGATTAATTACCCGAATTAGTAGTAATGAAAGTAAAAAGTCTCATATTTTCAATTAGTTTCAATCATCTCTTCAATCAGTTTCTCTCAGACATAGTGATCTCTAATTGTACATATTTTGCCTTTTAACTGACCAGTGCCTTTGAATGACTGTTTTGTTCAGACACTGTGCGCCTGACCCATTCTTTATCCCAGTACATTATTATTATGATGATATCTCCAAGAGATCTTGTCAAAGAATAAATTTTTTGAAGAGAAATTGACCTTTCTTTTTAGGTGGCTGTATGCCGGTTCTTCCAACATGGCAGTCATTGAGGTTTCACTGATTACTGGTTTCACGGCCGACATCGAGAGTTTGGATCTGGTGGGTCTATTGTGCCACAATTGATTCTCTGATTAGTATAGCATCATTTTACTGATTTCTTCAAGGCAGTACTGCAGATTTATCTCCTGAGGATAAGTTTATGTATACATATAGTAAGGTAATTTGTTTACAGATAAATATGTTAGACTAGCCAAAACATCACATAATGTACTCAGCATTGTAGCTCAGAAGCTGTGGAATGTTGAAAATAACCTTGTGGGCAGGTATGCAAAATACGACACAGTTTATACTGGATAAGTAAGTCTGATTCCTCAAAGTGTGTTGAAGTTTTCTTTTTGATATTCTCCACTCTGAAACTATGTCTCCTCTTGTTTAACTTTGTCCTACTTATGACAACCATTCTGGCTTGTCTTTGACATTTTATCTTTTTTTTCTCAGCTTCTACGTGACAAGTACACCAAAGTCAAGCGCTATGAGATTGACGGTCGCAAGGTTATCCTGTACTTTGATGAGATTCCAAGCCAGTGCATGACCTGCATCTCGTTTGATGCCTATCAAGACTTTGTAGTTGGGAAGACGCATGCTGTACCGGTCAAGGTTTACGATTATTACGAGCCACGTAAGTTTGCCCTAGAAAAAAATCATTCACCAACCCCCTTTGCAATTCTTAGGAGTCTGTTTTGATATTGTCATAATATCTCAAGGGAAAAATATGTTTTTTCCATGTGTGAAGAACTTCGGTTTCCCTGTGAAACACATTCACAAAAAAAGTTTCTCTTGAATGAGTATGATAGAAGTTTGTTTTCACTTTGCTGGTAGATTTTGAGGCCTCCAAGTTTTACAATGTCAGTCGCGACAGCCCTCTGGCCCGGGAGCTGTGTGAGGACGATCACTGCAACCAGGTCCACGAGACTGAGGACAGCAGCCACAGTGCAGGTGAGACAACATCCTCGTTGGGACACAGAGAGGGGTGATCCAAGTCCTCTTAGTGCCTTTGATAGGAAGTCAGAGGGTGGAAACAAAATGCCATTTTCATGAACCACAAGAGGTCGGCGCAATAGTAGGACTTTGAGTAGCCTTATTTTCCTGAAACCTGATGTTAACAAGAAGACTAATCTTTGAATAAAACAGCTGAGATGAACGTCATGTTCATTCCATTGCCTGAACTGCAGGACAGAAGTCTTTTAAGTTGAAGTAATGAGAGTAACATGGCATGATTTACCCTTTGATTTTTTCTGTGGCTACATGTACAGCCATATGGTTGGAGATTGTTGGGTCGGGGGTTCCAATCCAGCCACTGATAGTGTGGTATGTCCCTGGGTGGGCCTTTTTACTCCTCTTAGTCGATTTCTGTCTAAGGGTATAAGTAGTCACCAGCATTACACACTAAAATGATGGGCATCCGATACAAAACAAGCAGAAATAACCTTTGAAAATTTATTTGTCTTTCTTGAAATGTATTTCCAGCCTCTCCCCCCAATTTTGCCCCCTCTATTTCCGTGTTGCAATAGGCTGAAATAAACAATTAGCATAACAATACTTCACAGCACCACTTATTTTTCGTCTCCCACTGCAACAGAGCAACCGGCCATGGAGAACTACAACCCAGAAAACTGCAACTCCATCTCCGGTGACTGCCAGTCGACCTTTGACCTCATCCAGTGCATGTGCGAGCGCACCTGTGACACGGGAGGGCCCAAAGTGTGTGCCAGCAACAATGTGACCTACGACACGTACTGTCACATGGAGGTTGCTGCGTGTCAACTCAACGAAAACCTCGAGGCAATGCCCCTCTCCAACTGCCCAGGTGAGAACGAATTGCCCCCAGTTTTTGACACACCAAGTATACTTTGGTTTAGAACACTTTCGTTGGCGCAGTAAATTTGTAGCATGCTGTGCTGTGCTGTTTTGTTTTTGGTGCTGATCAGTTCAAAAAACAAATTGAATTTCAGATGTTTGAAATCTTTGCCGACTTTGGAACTTTTATTCTCTTTGTTCCAAGTATTTTACATTGTGTACATGTAAAACATATGCAGGGAACAATAAACCATCTCAGTGTTGAAATTCGGTTAAACACAAGTTAGGGTTCTGATGCTCCTGCAAGTTTAAGTTATTAACTACACTAAGAATCTGCAGAGCATTGGAGTGTTAGGGGTTTGAACATTCTCTTGGGTTGCCAAAATTGGAAAGGTACAGGTTGAACGGTAGTAAATGCCTGTTAACGGCATCCTGACCATTGATAGCTGAGCCCCTTTTTCAACCAATCCTGGATCCACTCGTGACTACTAGCCATAGTTACATATATGCAAGATTGACAGTAATAAGAGGATGGCTTAATCGTTCTCTGCTGTCGATTTCTTGTTAAAGCCACTGACTGTGGAAGTATAGGCTTTAAAATCATCTTCTATTATGTGTTCATTCACAGAAAAGCCAGATGAAGCCCCAACTCCAGAAGGCTCAGCTGCCATCTGGGGTGACCATGACACGGAGGAACCTGATGAGCAAATGTCACAGAGCAGTGACTCATCTTCCTACAGCGAGCACAGCATGGGCATGGAGGAAATGGGCGACCACCCTGGTTTCAAAGAATGGGATGGGATGCAGTCACCCTGGAGGTTTGAGATCGAGAGCGAGGGTGCAAAGGAGAAGGGAAGGATAGACGATGAGATCCCAGACGTGATGCGGGTACAAAAGGGGGAAAAGGAGGAGGCTGTAGATTGGGGTGAGGAAGGTGCTGGTGAGGAAACATTGGATGAGCCTCTCCCAGAACCTCTTCCTGCTTCGTCTCTATCTCAGGGCCCCCGCCCACTGGCAGTCAGGGATGGGGATGATGAAGCCCCAGCCATGGAGGAAAGACCCACCGAGGTGGACATGGAACAGGAGCACACCAAGGTAGATGGGGACATCCCAGACTTGACCAACGAGGATGGGACTGAGGCAGCAAATGTCGGGGATACTCTCGGGGGAGATGCCCCAACGGGTGAGGGAAAGAATATTGGTGATGCTTTGGAGATGGGGTTGGACACTGGAGAGGCTCAACAGGAAGACGGTGTCCACGTGGATCCCTCACTGGGTGATGCAGGTGAAGATGGTGATGGCGTGATGCTCAGAGAGTGGTTGCACGAAAGTCAAGAAGCCGAGACTGGAGGAGAGATAACTGAAGAGGAGGAACCAGGTCATGACTTTGAGATGGATGCTGGCATGACACAAGCAGGTGAGGAGGTCAGGGGTAAGGAGGAGACACCTTCTGCGGCAGGATCACCCATAACCCAAGAAGATGCTCCAGGGCACCATGTACATTCTGAAGGTAAGTGTTTCATGAAGTCTTAATGCATCTCAATGAGCAATGGAAAAGTGGATCATGTTATATTACCACCAATGGTTATTGGTGGTAATATAACATGATCCACTTTAGTAATTAGTTCAAGGTCTTGTAAACTTCTGGCCTGAGCACAGGGTAAGTTAGAGTCTAATACAAGGGGTTTTCCTAGTCTTTGGGCCTGCTCAACTTTTGGGCTATAAGAGATAATTTTAAGTCCTATCCGACCTGGGCAGAAGTACCCCCTCATTGGTTGAAAAGACCCATGCTGGTGGGGAGTGTTCATTTTGTTGGTAGCAATGCGTACGCAAGGATCTCATAGTCGTTTGGGAACTGAAACGTGCATTTCCCACTAAGGGAGCCTCCATTGCTAGGAAATTTGTGCCCTCTCTTGGTCCAGCTCAGCTCATTATCTTGGAAAACTTTAGCTCAGTATAAGACCATGCTTCAAGATTATCACATAACAGTTTTGGGGAGTGATTTGTTTTGGTCTACACATTCAGGTAACATAAGGATTCTGGAGCTGAGCCAAAGCCATAGTTTGGGATGCATGTTGCCCATTTTGTCGCCAAAAAGACTAGTTTGCTTTGGGCATGGCATTAGAAGCAACATTTCAAGTTACTTTCAGCTGGAAGTGTTCATAAGTGCATCGTTCATTTCCCAGGTGATTCTAAGACTCAAGATGACAACCTGAGTGCCGGCAACCAGCAGGAGACATCAGAGGAGAGCCCGACCCAACTGGCAGAAGAGGTAGCTCCTGTTCGCTTGGGCAGCCCCGGTGTGATCGGACTCGACACCATGATCAATGACGAGGCAGGAGTGGCGGTTAATGATGAAGGGGAGGAGGGGGTCAACATACGGCAGGTTGAAACCCACAAAACGACCAAAGAAAGAAGAACAAGGGAGCTCAGAAAGGCCTAAGGTTATTTACTGCTTACCGTAAAGCCACTTATTTCAGCACTTCAGTATTTCTCAATGCAGGATCGCAGTGGATGCTTATCATATTCTCTGAGTATCGACGATACGAGTGGTAATTCACGGACTCTTTTGCCGCACGGTAAATGTTTCGAAAAATGAAGAATCCATCTTCTTCAGGTCGGCGATAGGCCACATGGCTTGGACCACCATTTGTTCTGTGTGGATATTCGTGCCCCAGGAAATGTGGCCACTTTCAGCTCTAGTAAATAAGCTGCCTCCGGTAAACAGCACAAAAAATGAACGAGTAAAGATTTCTTGGGGGGGGGAGGAATTGAACTTTCCACATAAACGGGGAAAATTTTAAGTGTTTGAAAAGTTGGTTATTTATAAACTGCTACGTATGTATTGCACAGCATGCTTGATATCGATTTTATTTCTGTACATATCTAGACTGCATTTGTAACTGGTTGCTTAGTTCTCCCATGTTAGAACAAATTCAGTCTACACTGATCTTGTACAAAGCATTACAAACATATATCAATACATAAGTGTTTATGTAGACACTGCCTTGTATTGTAGTTTTGAAGTAATTTTATTTGTGTAAAACTCTTTGAGCTGTGTAAAAACAAACATTTGTGCCTACTTCCAAGGTTATTTGTATAATTTATGTTAAACAAATGACTACCCTTGGATTTTAAAAAGTCAAATTTTGTCTCTCTTAAATGATTGCATTTGAACAACTTCGGTGTCCAGAAAGACTTGTCGCAATGTCTTGAAATGGAAGGTCATTACATAAATAAAACCAAAAAATATTTCTTGATATTTTCTATATTGCATATTCCTGACGTCACTCGCCTTGAAAATGATGGCGATGACATGCCTTTAATGCACATTTCTCCAAGCCACCAGACTAGTTCTGTAGAAGCAAACTTCTGTCTAAGGAACACAATGAATAGTTTCAAATATCAACTTTTAATGCTTTTATTTATGTCATCAGAAGACGTTTTAAGTGCTTCTGAAAATATAAACATTGTAAATTACGGGTGGAAAAAATCTAGGGAACAGTAGTTGACATGTCTACTGTGGTTAAAAAAAATGATACAAATTCATTTCAAAAAGCATGTGGCCATTTCAGTTTTTAAGAAATTCAATTTTTAAAGCTACATATAATCCACACTTGTATAAAGTTTTCTTGCACATCTTCACGGTAGCACTTTAGATCATAATTTTTCCAAGTTATATAAAACTGATCTCTAGGCTTTCTGCGCTACTTCAGCGTTTATAGAGTGAAGCTTATAAAACAGTATTAATGTATCAGCTTTTTTGTACAAAACTTGCCAAGGTGTGTCTTGGAAATACGCGTCTGTAATTTAACGTAGTCACGTTATTAATAACTGTGCTTGTTTGAATGAATCAAAATTTGGTTGTGTCTCAGTTTTTGTGTACCCAAGTATTATCAACACACTCTGTGAATTTTGATTGGCTTAGGCATGACCATGTGACATCTTGGCTCAGGAGAAGCAACTGCCAATGCATGACTTTTTTGTCAGTTTTGTGAGACACACTTTTACTTTCGGGCCAAACTGTAACAAAGACTGTTAAATCCAAACCAGAACCTCTTTTTCTTAAAGTTTTACCCACCACAATCAGTAGTCTGTATTCAATGTCATTAGTCACGGGAAATCTCAGCATTGACAAGGTGACGCTGGTAGTTAACATTTTGGTTAAAGAGGTCATCTTAACCCTTTTTTAACAATGAGATACTTTTCCCAAGATTGTTGCACTGTTACATTTGAGTATAAGTAGAGAAGTATTTGCATGCTAGATTTTCACAGAGATTAATTATATATTTTTTTTGTCATGAACAAGTACATAGTGAATGTATAAAAGGGTGAGAACCAATCTAGCTAAAGTTCGTTCCACAGAAGTTGTATTTCGGGGGGGTAGCTAAAAATTACTATTCAAATTTCTGGTTGTTCATCCAAGAATCATGTAGCATAAAAGAACTGTTTAAAATAGACAAGAATGCAACATTCAAGGAAGCCACAGAAACAGATCGTCATTTCAAATGGTGTAAAACAACAGAATGACCCAAATTTGCCAAGATCTGACTCAATTTTTGTATGATATACAAGGCCAGCACTACTCCTAAACTAGTGGCTAAATACAACAAATTTGGTCTACAACGCGATGGAATTCTTCAGGTCTAGAACGTTTCACGGCTGTAAAGCCCAGGGAGTTGAGGTCATGCACTTTTTGACCAGCGTTTGACCGTAATCTTTGATCGTACACCTTTTTCTCATTTCTACGCCAGGCATCACACCACAAACTGCTCATACACATGTTTTGAATGTTTTATTATATAAATAGTGTGCTTGTAAGTTAACTGTACCTGTAACGTTGCCCATTTGGCATCTATTTACGAAGCCGTGTAGACTAACATACCAGTATGTATGAGTAACTATTGATGTTTACTGTTTGTAATAAATATCCACTGAGCATCAATAAAGTTTTAAAAAAACTAACACGTGCGTTTGCAGTTTCATGACAGGTAACGGCCAAAGAAAATATCTTGAAGATTCTCAAATGAAATGAGATTTCTTGTAAGATATTGTCTCTCGTATACTGTGCAGGGACTGTTCAGGGGAACAGAACATGGTGCCCGTGTGTGCATTGAGGAGACACCGCTGCTACCAACAGCAGAGTGGTGGTGAGACAGCCAATCAGTGGTGGGCACGGGTTTTATAGGGGGTCTCGAGGCTAAGCGGATATTTCTTCCTTGAATTGGACTGGAATAAAGGCTATGATAAATTTTCAAAGGGAAGTAAAGTCTGACTCTTCCACGAGGCATGAAGACTAGTCTCCTCTCAAGACTGGCAATGAAACCATTTTCCCACAGGACAGTACGTTGTGTATCCCTTTACTGATGTGTAATAGAAACAGGCGTCCTGGACACACCTGCAAACTGCACTAAAACATGTATATCGAACAGGCCAGCCGACCCAGATAAGGTCAGTGGTCAAGATTTCTGCAATAGTAAGCAGAAGGTCGTGGGTGTGAATCTTGCTCAAACAAACCTGTGCATTTGTAAATTTATTTCTCACAAGCTCTTGGTGAGCACCGAGCATGTATTTGGCAAGAGGTAAATGAAAAATTCAAATTTACTTTAAAATTGGGTTAAAAATGGAGCGAGTCCAATTGCACGGTTTATATTCAATTGTTGGGTGGCATTTATCACCTACAGGCCTGGGTTGAGCTTCCGTCTTCATCTCCACGCCTGGTGACACTGTGATCTCTGTTGGTGTGGCCCATGATGAGGTCATGAACTTTGACCCCTCTCTGCTTGGAGTCTACCAATTTGCTACACTTGAAAGGGCCAGACTGCTGCGATCAAGAAACACGAAATTAAATGTAACTGTTTTTGGAGTCGATGCCCGCTCATCATCCCATTCAATGAACACTCATATGATTTCTCAAAACAAATTGACTCCTATGGAGGACGCCCCATCCCCCACAGTTTCTTGTAAAAAAAAAACACATCCTCCTAATCCCTCTTCATTTTAGAGAGGATATTTGTGCCGGAGGTATCTGATATCGCTCTATATGTTCTCATTGGTTCACCAAGGGGATAGATCCGGATATTACTACAAGCCCAGCCATCAGGGGTAACACCACCTTGAGAAACTTTCAAATTGGCACCGGATCGGTTCACCAACCCTCTTTACCAACTTACTCACCGGCGAACCTGTTGATAAGGGGCTACTCTTCTGGAACCGCACACCGTCCTCGTCCACTCTCAGCCCGTGGCTTCGGCAGAACACCCTCCCCTCCTCGTCTGTGTCAAACAGTAGCCACCTCGACAACACGCCGACTGGAAAACAGAGGTTCTTGCTGCTGTACGCAGCATTTAGGACCTGCAAGGCTCGCCTGTAAGACAAGACAAAATATTTCAATACACTGACCTGGCCCTGGCTTTAACTATGCCAAATCGTGCTTCTCAAAGAAGATGAACAAATCAAGCCAACACAGAAAGTAAACACTTCTTCATAATACGTACAATGCTATTCAAAAAACACCTGAACCGATTACCCAGCACGGGTTTGTTTTTTCCAAGGAAAGGGCAGGTGGGGTGAAGGTATAGGTTCGATGACCAATTAAAAGCCTTGGGTCCTACCGTCGCATCTCCAAGAGGTGTCTATGCAAAGCACAGCTCTGTATGTAGCTGCACTCGGAAGCTAGTCTCCAGACTCGCAAGAAGTTCCCCTGCAGATTAGCACTGTGAATACGGAGTGCCAGCCTGACAGAGGGGTGCTGTCTGTGGGAAAGTACCAAGACAAATCAGACCTGTAAGTCATGTTTGAATCTGCACGATATATGCAGCAGGACTTTAAACCCATGTGTAAGTATGAGGATTTCCAGAACGTTGGGAAAAACAACTTTAACACCTGGGGGAAAAGTAGTTTACCCACCAACTTAAAAATAAAAGCATTTCTTCACTAACAGTTTTTATTTATAAAGTTTTCACGAGGTCCTAGGGTCATATTTACTCCAAATTGGTGTACTCCTTTCATGCCAAATTGATAACAAAAACAATCTTGAGATCTTGAACATTTTAAATCTCTGTGTTGTTTCGATACAGAGCAACAGTGCTGAAACTTCATCATTACATTAAACCCTAACAGCCCTGAATCCTCCAATTTTAATATGATTTTGCGCATACCCTAGGGAGTTAGGGTTAAGTAGTAAATTAAGAGGAGACGGAGAGATGGAAGTGCTGAACCTTTTTTGACTTACCTCACTTGCTTGGGTAAAGAAACTGCATGCTGGAGTGCTTCTGTGGATCCTGCGTATTATTCAAGCAGAAACAATGCAATTAGCTCCTGAAGAATACAGCTAATTCCAAGATCTAGAAAGTGACTCATGGTGCAAGGCAACTGCAAAATCCCGCTTGATCATTTGTCCATGAAAATGTTTACAAATGTTGGCAGATATCTGACAAATGCTGAAAGTTACCTTATCAAAACAGGGAAATACATTGACCCACCCAGGTTGAAGAGCAGATACAGGGCCTCAAGCTCTTCCCGGTCATTGCTGATGACGGTGCCCTCACGGTCGGCATCCCGATACATGACCAGAAGCCGCTTTAAGCACTCCTGCGCATGATCGGCATTGATCTTGCCGTCATAATTCGCTACAGGTTCAGTGCAAAGACTGAGACAGCGAAGAGAAATAGAATGTGTCTCATTTAGGCGGCTAGTGGTGAGAAGCCACTGTGGGTCAAACCCAGCTGGGAAAACTGGACACTTGTGTCCCTGAGCGAGGTACTTTGCAACAATTGCCCGTTTGAACAAGCTGAATGAGACGCATAGCTACTGTGTAAAGCTGAGTGCAGCCACTAATGTCAAGGTAGCTTCCTATGTCTCATGGATCATACATCATTATCTCCAGGGAGTAGCTAGGGACATTTTCGGGGGGTATTTGTTCCTCCATCAGGAATAGTAATAATTGTAAGAGACTTGCTGTTTTGTTAAAATTTGTGGGTACATCTTGAGTGGTGCTAATTTCTCTGCTGGTTTTCAAAGGGGTCATACCTTTTCTTCCTTCTAAGAAATTACTTCCAATGTTCCAATTTCTCTACTTGTGAAATATTCTGTTTGATAGCCTCTTCATAAACTTTTCTTAAACAGTGCTGGACACACTTTTGAAATTCAAAAATATTTTACCTGTATCCTGAATACAGATGAAACCGGACAGCCATTTCCAGAATTTGTACGCATTCTGTTCCTGTGACTCTCTGAATCACAAGGTCTTGTCGGACACTGCGAAGACGATCGAACACAAAGTCATACAGCTTCACAAATCGGTAGTCGGTCCGTGGTAAAATCCTGCCAAGTTCAACCCCCCCAAAAAACCAAGAAAAAAAGAGTTTAACTGCTCACAGAAAGAATGTCTATCTTCTTTGGACCTTTTCTCTGTAATCTGGGCTAACTGTAATTTTTGCTTCTGGTTCAAGATGAGGCAGTTACGGAGGAAGGGGTTGGCAACATTAAACTTTAATGACTGACTTCATAGGAAATATACCAAAATACGGAACTTTCAACTTCTATTAATGTTTGAAATGTAATTCCCTGTTGTTACAGAACAGACCAGTACAAAGTATACGGGTCACTGATCCTTTGACTTCCAAACAAGGCTTTATCATTAATCTTTAAGAAGTTTTATCAAGCTACTTTTCACAGAAACCTTCAAGATAAGTCTGGGGAAAAATTGCACATACCTTTTTATCATAAAGTGAACAGTCTTCAATAAAACCTGAGGAGGTCGGAGGTCAGAGGTCAAAGCATCAGCTTTTCCTGCTGCAGGTCTTGAGTATTCTTTGATTGTAGCTGACGGATCTGATCTGGGTCTATAAATTAAGTTCGATTTTCATTTTCATTTCATTTTTGATGTTGTTCTGATTTGTTATGATAAAAAACAATGTATGTTTCATGAAAACAAGAAAATTTTATTGAAATGAGCATTTGCAAAAGTAAATTCTTTGAAATAGGGGCCTAAGCCTGGCAACACAGTGATTATTCCAAGATCTATGAGTTATTTGTTAATTATATTAGACAAATCAAAACAGAACAATTTAAAGGAAATAAACATGAATGAAACCTTCTTGAATCCTCCGTCCCTAGAACCATCTCTAGTGGATGCAGTCGCATCTGCAACTCTCGCCTGTCAAAAAAATAAAAACAATCAAAGCTAGGCTAAACAAAGATTAGGCCTATCTGATCTAGGAACGTCAGTTCAACTCAGTTGACTGGGTTATTGGCCTTATTTACTTCCTTACATTTTTCTTTCCTGTTCAGGACACATGTCCATACATGTCCCTTTTATTTGACCGCTCCGGTTCATTGTCGCTTTCCTTGGATTAAAATTAAAAAGTATTGAAGCCCGGAAGGATCTAGGCCAAGCTAGCCTAGGCAAAGATTATGAAGATGCATCATTGTATGACGACGAAAGCCGAGTCTTATTATTTGTAACTCTTGAGGGCGCACTTCACGTAGCACAGACGACTAGTGCTGCGGCAGCTGTTCGTGCAGACTGGATCAGCATGCATCAGGCTAAAAAGTTCTGATCTTGACGTTTCCTTGGGTCAGTCCCAAAAGTAGCCAGGTACCCATTTGGACACACACTTTCATGATGTCCGGAGATATTCCGAATAACCAAAGTAAACACCCATCAAAGATTAAAAAGATCACCAGAAAACGAGTGAGTACACTACACGTGATCGATCCCCAGCCCAAGGCTACTTCGAGAACTCGAACTTCGAAGTCACTAATTCCGTGATACTAGGGACGTTGCTAGATTGTGGTTTGGTCCCCGACCTATTTTTAGCAGGTATAGATCAAGCAGAAATGCTGACAGGGGAAATTTGGTTTAATAGCTTTCTTAGGGCTGTAAACTATTTCGCCACAAAAATTCAATTCCAAAACCCCACAGCATTACGACGCCATGTAAACCATGTTTCCTCGAAGTCACACAGAGTATCACGGAGTGAGTGACTTCCAGTTCCCGGAGTAGCCCAAGGCTTGGTATTAAACATGGCTAAGTAAGGCTCAATGTTAAGCACAATGCACAAGATGCGCCAACACTGAGCTTGAGGGAAATTTCAGGTTAAAGTTTGGGCATTTTAGAAAGGAACTCGTGCCAATTAGCCATTTTACTTAGGAACAGAGACATGTTCTTATTGAAAGGCACAGTGCACTGCAAACTCTTTATTGTCAGCTGGAGACAGGTTGTGTACACCCCAACTATAGTATCAGTCCCAACTATAGTTGGGTCCGTCCCAACTAGAGTGCTACAGTTGGGCCAGCCCAACTACAGCAGAGAGGTCCTGTGTTCATGATGTGCCCAGCATGTACCAAAATCATATTGTTTACAAATGTCATGTCATTGGTCATGGGGCTAGATGAACAGATGAAGTGCCACATTTTAGATGAATTGTGTCAAGTGTGAGACACGTTGACTTGGATAATGTTGAGACATTTGCCACAGACATGGGTCAACAATAGTTGGGCAAGCCCAACTGCAGCACTACAGTTGCGACTGTCCCAACTATAGTTGGGACTCATGCTATAGTTGGGACGTAACAGGTGTATTTTAGGCTATGACAATCATGATAATGGACAATAGTCAAAACTGCTCAATGCAATTATGACTCTTTATTAGGCCTATCATTATTATTTATTCCACCAAAACAAAATATCAAAATTTAACAATTTTGTTTAGGGTTGGGTTAGGGTTAAGAATATAAATTCTTGCACAAATGTATTGAATTTCCTCCTGATTTGATTAACCTATGAATGGACTTCAGTCAAAGGCAAATTGACTCAGGATGCCGCACTGTAATTTTGCACAAAAACTCAAGAAAGATTATCATTTTCCCTCTTGTGTTGCTGTTTTCAGCACATTGACTCAAATTGTACAATAACTATACAGTAACTAAGAGTTGTTGAACTGTTCAGTTGAACGCCTGATCACTTGGTGGTTTGTTTATTATTTTAAAACAAGTTTTTTACATGAAGTGAAACTTGTTGAATTTCTGTTTGTAGCAGCTGTCACCTGTTTAAATGGGGACAGCCACTGAGCTTCAGTCATTACGTTTTCATTATCATTGCACATTTTTCAGGTGTTTGCAGGATTTGTGAAATCCAAACTTATTGAGGATGAGTGTAGCAATGATAGATCAGTTTCTGGTCAGACCCATCGGTGGCAGTGTTGCAGCAAGACATTCACCGTGGCTGCTGAGATCCACAAACACGTGGCGCTCTGCCACAGGGAGACGGTTGATGAAGCCATGACCTCTGAACTCAAGGGGGTCCATCACAATTGCAGACGACACAATGTTTCTAATTTTAAAAGGAAGGATATTGGCCCATGCCGTCTGCCAGGAAAATTGCAGCCAGGATCAGAAGGTAATTGCAGTGAAGATGGAAACAGGGAAGATTCTAATTGCATTTCATCAGAAGGCGATGAAGTAAACGGCGGAAGACCCTCTGCACTTGTCCAATTTCAAGCAACAAGTTCCAAAACTAAGGAAAATCCCAAGTTGACGGGCAGTGACAGGGCATTTCCATGGTTACCCAGCCTCGAGAAATGTCACCATTTGGACAAATCTGAAGAGGGGCAGATCCTACTGTACTACAAATACGTGGACATCGAGAACCCCAGCAATGTGGCTGATTGGCAGAGGGAGTTGTGTCAAAGGTTACAGCTAACTGGAAAGGTCAGTCCCATTAGCTGAGGATCAGATGTTCTTCGCCAAGAAGACAATACAGCTGTGATATTTCCGCCAACTGTCCTTCCAATTCCTGAAAGAAAGTCATAGCAGACACAGTTTTCTTATTAAACTTCCCATTTCAGAGATGCACTGGTCACTGGAGCAAAACATTCCAATGATTTTTGAGAGGAATGGTTTGACCATTTCTTAAGTTTTGAGTGTCATTACATCATTATTTTAGGGTCAATGACCTCACAATAATGCCTGTATCAAATGCTTTTAGCAGTGACCCGTGATTGCTCCCTATAAGAATGAAACTAGCATGGAGTGTGTTTTTTGCAGTGACCGGTGGTCACCCAAAGGTATTACGGATAAAACAATTTTGAACCAACTTTATCAGATCCGTTTGGCGACTGAAGGAATAAAGGCACTGTTGGTGGCTCCCTTGAAGCTACTGAGCTTTACATCCAGTCTGTCTTGGCCCATCCAGTCTTCAAGGACATGACATCGCTCGATTTTAAGGTACATCTATTCCTTCAATAGGCGTTCTAATGTTTCAGATTTTTTTTTCAATCAGCATTAGGAAAAGCATTTTCCAGAAGTTTGGAAGACACGTAGATCTGTGCAGTCTGTGATGTACTGTCTGGAATCAAAACTATCCAGCTGTGAAAGTACAAAGAACCAACTGCACATAGTACCAGCCAGGGGAAAATATACACATGATGGGTTTTCAAAAGGTCACCTGTTCTTTCCTAGAAAAGTATTTTCTTCATGCAGCAAATTTTGAAGCTCTGTGAAATAGACCCCCCCGATACACAGACCAAGGCCATGTCTGTATTACTTGGCTGTTGCTTGAAATTACACACAGCTCTGTCATTGTGGCTACGGCCACTTCTCATAGAATGCTGACACGGCCCAAGGTCAGGACGGGCTTCACTGCTGCAAGCACTGCCACCAAATGCTCGTTAGTCACTCAGTGTTTGTCAGAGCAGAGGCTGGACCTGGGTGAAAACTCCAACTGGGTGCCAGTGGGTTGATCACATTTCTTGTAGAAAGGAAGCGCTGAAAGCAAATTATTGCGGTCTGGACAGAGGCCGTGTACACTTCAACTGGGGTGCACCCAGGGAGCGTCGACTTTCGCTGAGGGGGGTGATTGCCTGCCCCCATCCCCTCCCCGGTAGTTATGTCACTGTGTCACAGGCATTCCTGTGTCATTGTTCATCGTCCGTTGATCACCTTTTGGTCTTGGACATCAGACTCCAAATTTCCTCATGGTTTGACAATTGACACAGATCACTGCTCTCATTGCCAGAAAAGCAGCGGAGGTGCCGGTCATTTTCCGAAAGGCTTGAAGGTTGGCGTCCACAAAGAGATCGTGCCCATGGGTATCGACCCAGAGACCCTGAGCTACAGACAGGCAGGTAGGGCAAAGATCACGGACTTTGTTGAGTGGCACTGAAATGGTCTGGTTCCCTGGCTTGGACCTTGAGTGTCTTTACAAAGGCGTGCAAGGCTTTATCAGCCCCTTTTTACTCAGTCTTTAACCAATCAAAGAAAATACGCTCTAAACAAAAATTTCCACAGGGTACAACTCAGGTCCTAGGAGTTGGGAGGCTCTAAGTCTGAAGAAGCGCAGCCTCTTTGGATTTTTCTATTAGTTTGCACTGTTTATCTTGTGTCAACAAACTTAAGAGGTCAGTGTTTCAATCCTATTACGACTGTGAAAATTTGAATCGTAGATGGGGAGACCATAGCAAAGTCAGGAATGCTAGCTAGAATTTCATGCTTCAGCACATGTGAAATTGTAGAACTTACCCAAGTGTCGTAGTTGTTAAAATGTCCAGTGAAACGTACACAACTCAGAAGTAGTTATCCATGATGCAGCTGCAGGCCCTTTTTGAAATGATGTATTATGTTGTCTTCTGTTATTCAGGTGCTCATCTCACACCGTCAGAATTCCACAAAGAGATAGACCTCCACATTAATTCAGAGACGGCACCGTGCTCAAGGGACACACTGTTCTTGGATTGCCGCAACTTTTACGAAAGCAAAATTGTAAGACGTGTTCGTCATGTTGATGGTACTCTCCAGACTTATGCGGATGTTAATCTTCCTTATTTACCTTGTCAGTGAACCCTTGTAGGTTGAAGTGGAGTGAACATTTGTGTGCGAGTATTCGCTGTCAGAGATGCTAAATAGTGCTATCCGATTTTTACTTTTACAAACAGTGCTCTTACTTTCCCTTTAAGTAGTGCTTTTTTGGCGCCACTTCTCTGTGTTTTTGCTGTTCATGTATGCCTTTACATTCTGTGTAATGTGTGGTCCAGGGTCAGTTTAAAAGTGCAGTCACTCCCAACATCAGGAAATTCAGCTATTGGCCAGAGTACGTCGACAGGAACCTTGACTTGTTTCGAGAGAAGAGAGTGATTATGTACTGCACAGGGGGCATCAGGTGCGAGCGGGGCTCTGCCTATCTGAAGACAAAGGTCCATACAGGCTTTACTATTTTATTGAAAAGTATTTATGTATCGTTTGTAAACCGCTGTTGATGGTTATGTCAAAGTTAACGATGATTTCATCATAATGTGGACAAGACTCCTCATTTCCTCTTCTCTTTTTAGGGGGTGTGCCAGCAGATTCTGCAGCTGAGAGGCGGAGTCCACAAATATTTAGAGGAGTATCCTGATGGACATTTCAAGGGCAAACTCTTCGTTTTTGACGATCGCTATGCCATTCATACCAACAATGAAGTTGTTGCAAGTAGGTAATTTACTCACCCGTATCACTTATCAATGTATTACTCGTGCCTTCAAAGACACTATTTGGAAGATTGAAACATCGGTGGGACAGTTCAGATTTCCAGAAGCTCGAGGAACTCAATTCTCAAGTTGATTCGTCCGCTTGCATCCCAGGTTGTTTCCACTGCGACCAGCCCTGGGATCAGTACCGCCCGTGCTCCAGTGCCCACTGCCACCAGCTGGTGCTGGCCTGCCCGGGCTGCAGTGAGGCTGGCCGCACTGCCTGCTGCAAGCTGTGCCGCGACATTGCCGCCCGAGCCTTGACACAAGGAGGGAAGGCGAGGGAGGAATGCTTGTGCACGAGGAAGAGGGAGCGCATCCCCGTTGAGAAGTAAGTAGACAGATTCAGATTTGCACTTTTCCAACTTCGGTCGAACAATTTTACTCCTCTATTTCAGCCACCGCGATACTTTTCTAGGTCCAGTTTGGCGTACCTATATACCTCTTGCCATGAGAATACTCTACTAAGTTGAATAGTATAAAGTTTGACTTAGCATCAGCCAACGTTTTGCTTTTTTTCCAGTGGGAAGGTCTGTGATCAGTTTTAACGAACTAACCTGTGAGATCAGTGTGCTTTATTCACAAAATGGCCATCTTGGATTGTGCTTCCTGAATCTACGCCATTTATGGAACACGAAGAAATGGAACGGAGACTGACTTTTTTGTGCAATTTACCTGTATTTTTTGTCATTTTGAATATAAACAGAATTAGAGTTTTTATCCATAATTTGGAATTAGTCTTTGGAGTGCGAGCATTGTAATCTGTAACTAGCTCCTCTTGCATCATCTCTATTCCAACACGTATTAAGTTTTAAAAAAATTTGTGCGGGGACCGACTTGCTTTCAATTCAAAATGACTGACTCAAGAATGAGGCAAGTTCGCACTGACTGCTCCCAATGCAGCCTCTTGGTCAACAGTGAAAGGAAATCCTTTGCAATAAGTAGTTTTTCTCAATGCACAACAGTCAGGGGTGAGATTGACCAATGATAAAAATAGCTGAAAACAGCTGAAAAAAGGCATAAAGAAGCTGAACTGTGAAAATCTCCTATACTTTAGTACACAGCCAGTGAGGAAAAAAAGCTGAAATCCTAAACAAAAAAAAGGCTGAAATTAGCTGAAAGCTGAGGAATCTCACCCCTGAACAGTATAAGATGGGACCTGAAACCTCACCTTGCTGTAGCTTCCCTAACTACACCAAAATTCAACACCTGATGTTTTCAGTCATATCCTATTCTAAAACTGGAACTTGCTTATCCAAAGTTTTTTTTCTTACATTACAAATTCTGTGTCCATGGATTTTGCTTTCTTCTCCCAAGAAATGCATTGATTGCAGGTAAAGATGTTGTATGGGGCAAAAAACCCTTCGTACCATTTCATGATAAACAAATTCAAAACAAAAACAAACGACAAGCCACTGGCAAGTTCTTCACGTAACACGTTGCTTTATTTCTCTATGCTTAGCTGAGCACATCCACAGGAGTGCCTGGCATCTTGCTACTGATTTCAGGCACGAATGTTTCAAAGGAAAAGATGCTGCATGACACCAGTGCATTAGTACATAGATGTAGTACAGTTTTTATCATCCAATCATGCCAAAACAGCTTTCGAAAGATAGGGCCTGGTCAGGGTCAGTGAACCAGTGACAGATCACTGATGGAAATCCAGATCGATGTGTAACAAACAGGCCAATAATCACGCGTTTCAGACATTTGACTCTAACGGAATATTGCCGATGCAGTCCACTCACACTGTACTTTAACACTCCTCAGGACAGACGTTCTGGTACTTACCTGTTTAGTTGTATTAAATGTTAAATCTAAGAATGACCTCAATTGACCTTTGAAGAAAAATTCTGGCAGAATCTTCAGTGTGTAGTCCTCTGAAATTTTTACCATTTTAAAAATCTATATATAACTGTATACATAGATTCTATTTAATGACTAAAAAAAATTGTAAAAAAATGCATTACGATTTTTGAAAATAAGCGGCTACGGTGTACATGTATATTTTAACATTTTGACATGCCATATGAGAACTTATGCTTAATGTCAAACATGCGTGTTAAAAATTGATTAAATCAGTTGAAATTTATGGGAAAATGTAATAAATCCAATTTGTTCTTGTAATTTTTGTGTGATCTGTACCAACAAGTTGTTTGAACTTGACTTTTCAACTTGTCGTTTCATTTTGTTTAAAAGTTTTGCCTTTTAAGAAGTATTCGATTAAGAAGCACAGATATAAATAGCACAGTATTTCAACTGACACTACATTATGTGAAGGCAATATTGAATGGAGCACATAGTTTAACAGGTGGATTTACGAGTCCACATCACTCTTGAAGGTGACCCTCAAGCACAATTGACGGGCATACATTTGGTCAGCTTCTTAACATTGGGTTTAGCAATGAGGATATACGATGGACTTGCCCGGGGGTTCTTGAACAGGGAGGCACAGATGTGCCTAGCTTCCTTGCACTTCTTGCCCAGGAGGCTGGCCCGGAAGCTGATGTCCTGAAAAGCCAGGTCCCGGCCCACCACCAGAGGCATGGCTGCCTGCTCATCGTTGAGTGCCTGCTTCACCGCCCCCAATTTCTTGCCTTTGCCGTTGGGCTTGGGGGAAAGCCAAATCTTTAGGCCCCACAGGTCCGTGCCCTGGAAACCGACGGACTCTGGCTCGTCGTATCGCACACGCACACCGATTACCAGCTGGTTGGAGCGTCCGGCGTAGATGGTAGTGATCCCAGAATGGAAAAGAGAGAGGCCTGTGACAGCGATCTGCGGGTTACGAGGCGCTAGACGGAAAAAGAAAAGTGCATTTGAATCCAAATGGTTCAAACTCCAGACATCAAACTATGAAAGGAAAGGAGAATTGTTGCTTGTAACAAAATTTTGGTTGTTGGGAGAATTCTATCCTAAATCATTCATTGACGTTCCTGCTGCTCAATTTGATTTGAGCTGGACACCCAATCTACTACAGAGGGGGTAGGAATGGAATGAAAAAACAAACACCTGCTGTAGTCTGCAAGGATTTTTGGTTGCAGTAAGCTGATGGATCTCTTCAGTCACATTCTCACTTGAATTTTTTCAAATGTACATTTAGATTGTGTGTTATTTATAGTTGTGTTGTGTGACCTTTCAACTTTATTTTAAATTTAGGAGGTGTTTACCACAGGCTTTTTTTCTACGGTGTTTTACGTGTACATGTGTTGATATTATCTAAGGATTGTAAAAAGAGTGTTTGTACCCGTCATTAATTAGGGGTTGAATTTTGGCTTCAGACAAAAGGTAATGTGAAATATCTATGATTGGCTTTTAGCTCTGGTCATTTCCAGATTCACCAAAGGCTTCACACACCATGGCATTCCACTGGTTGACAGACAGTGAGCACGCTCGTGTCGGGACTGGCTGCCAGCTGAAATGGAGGGTTGGAGGGCTCCAGCTTGGAGAACTCAGCACAGATGTGAGTGACCTCTCCGCACTCCCGGCCCGTCATGTCCAGGCTGAAAGGGACTGTGGGGAAAAATAGTGGCTCAGGTGGCACAAAATTACGGTCTGCAAGCTGTTGGGAGAGGACCTGGTCGACCAGTTGGATGCGGGGTCCACTGCCATCTGGCACGGTGCTGCCCCACACTGCCAGTTGCCAAAGGTTGGTGCCCCTGATGGCCATGCTGTCCGGGGACATGTAGACTACCGCATCTAGCTCCAGGTCATTCCTGGCATCGGGCTGAATGTTGACGCCACCAATGTTGATAGTCGTGACAGTGACAACAGGTAAATCGCTATGTCCCCCTCCACCGTGGTGGTCTCCTGAGGTGCAGTAACAAAAACAGTGATTGTGAGTTTATTCTTCTATCGTATCTCATGGAGTCGGGTTGGTGTAATGATTCTTTCCTCGCCTTCCACCTCTGCAGTCCGGGTTCAATTCCCGGGTCAGTCGACATGTGAACTGTGTGTCAGTCCCTGCCTGATTTCTTAGGTTTCGTCCAGAGTACTCCTCTGGGGTTATCTTCCCACCTCTACAACCGTAGCTACTTTTCACTGACTCCTCTCAACTGGTTTCAGACTTGCGAGCTACAGTGCCAAGGGTGCTTTTGAGGAGCCCTTGGTGTCATTACCAGAAATTATTATAATAAATTATTAATAATAAAATATTTCAAACACTAAAAGATGGTCCCTGGAAGTTAATCATTCTTCAGGCAGCTGTCAAGATATTTGTATAAGACAGAAGCCATATTATGGACTTACTTGGTAGACACGGAGCACTCTGGCATGTCACAAATGCATGGGTTCCTTCTGGTAGGGGAAGGTTGAAATCTGGCCAAGCCGAATCCCCCTTGGCAATCTCAAGGCAAAGAAAGGGAAATTCACTCTCACAGTTAGCCCTCCGAAGGTCAAAGGGCACATTGATGTCAAAGTGTAGAGGGTTGGGCGGCAAGAGGCTCTGGTCGCGGTCTTGCTGGCTCAAGATCTGCCGGTCATAATTGATCTTTTGGGCATGAGTCCCCTGCTGTTTGCGGTTTGCAAAGATGCCCACCCTCCAAAACCCACTGCCCTCCTCGCCCATGATGGTATCGGAGTCTGGGTGAGGGGTCAGCTCCACCAAGATATGTAGATCACTCTGGCCGTCTGGATAGATGTTTGGAGGCCCGACTTGCCAGTCAACCCTTATAAAGCCCACTATCTTGATAGGATCTGGATCAGGTTGGCCGCCAGTGTGATCTGGCCCACCAGTGTCACCTGTCCCTCTGTCTGCATACAAATAAACATCAAAGTAAACCCAACTCAGCCTTGTCATTTTTGTCCTACACTTGCTTCAAATTATCTGCGCTTCTTTATGCAACATCCTTTGCTTAACACCTTGAGGAATATATTTGAAGAAAACTTGACTTCAACTCAAGAAACCTCAGTATTGTCTGAGGCCTCAGTTTAAGAACAAGTCAACGTACTGCTGTGCTCTGTTGACATATGGGCCTGTGCACTGGTAACATGCCCAAATCATTTTTCCTCTGAGACAGAGAGCATGCATTGTACTCAGATGTACTGAGTACTCAAGTAGAACCTTAGATTAGACACAGTTTGACATCAGCTAGAGACTTCACTCTCCATACTTTTTTTCATACTGTCATTACAAGTAGGCCCAAAATAGTTTGTTACAAGTGTTACTGCTCTCAACCATAGTGGAATGTATGTAGTTATTTCACCAGGGACTATCACGATACTCACTGGGATGGCAAGGCATCCTCTGACAATTCACAACGACATCACCACCAGCCAGCCCCATTTCAAAGTCTGGGTTGGCCAAATGATCCTTCCCAAACTCCACACAGAAGTACTTGTAGGGGCCACATCCCAACCTCCTCATATCAAAGTTGGTGTGGAGGTCAAAGTTCAGGGGCCTCGATGGGGCCAAGGTCCTTCTGGCATCGGGCACTTGAAGGAGCTGCGAGAGGAGCGTAGGTTGTGAAGGTTGGATCAACAAATCCATGAAGAAAATGTTGGACTTTGGAATGACTCCATATGAGAACTGCAGTAATGCTGTGTGGACTACGCCATATCAGTATAGAACCCACATTGGTGGATACATTGCCTGAGCCAACTGGTTCACAGCTGTGCATTCAAGTATTACATGGAAGCATACCTGGGAAATTGTTACAAATCACCCAGCTTCATATCAAGTCAGATAGCCTTCACTGGCACAAAGGAATTTCTTTATTTCTATTTTTTGGCTACGAGTTAACTAGTAATTTGGCTTGTGGTTACCCATGAAATGCTAGGAAATTGGCTTTTTGGCTCACCTGTGGATCGTAGTCCAGCCGATCTTCAAAAGCTTCCCCACCTGTTGAGTACTTGCTCCCATATATCCCAACTTTCCACAAGTTCTGCCCATTGATGATGTCCGTTTGCTCATGAGGTGGGACATTGACAAAAAGTCTGATGTCCGTTGGGCCCTCTGAGTTGATCTGAGTGTCCTGAATGAGCCAAGTAAAGGGCCCAATTCTGGCAACCGGTCTGTTGGGACGAGGCTGTGCAGATGGACGGTCTGAGAAGCAAGTACGGACATATTAAGTATACACGTCACTTCTGGATGAGGCGATAAAGGCCCGAATATTAAGGAAACAAGCCTAAATTCAACATTTGCGTGTAGCTCTTTTTGCATGTGAATTTTAAGGATAACCATGACATCATTCTTGAAAATATACAATGCCAGCGTTAATTGAAAGATGCTTAAATATCATTCTGTGTCTAAAAGAACTTGCTTTAGCTTACAGCAACACTCGTCTGTGGGAATCTGTTGCAGCCACTTGTCACTGATGTTCAGTAATATGGGCATACATGTAGGTTAAGAACCCAAGAGTTTAAGCACGTTCAGTTGAAAATTGGTATTTCTACTCTGCAGCTCTGCTTGGATGAATCAGTGTATGTATACAAGTCCTGCAGGTAATTAAATTCTTTGTCGAGACATATGAAGAAGAGTGGTGTGACAAGGTTGACAAGGTGGGCATTTTTTAGTTTTATGATGTAAAAGGTCATTTGCTTGACTCACTTTGGCAGAGGTAGGGTTTGCAAGAAACATGGGCATCAGTCTCAACTGGGAAATTGAAAGGAGGTTCGGGGTGATCATGCTGTGCAAATTCCAGGCATAGGTACCGGTGAAGGTCACATCCAAAGTTGTGTAGGAGGAATCTGGTGTCCACGTTGAACTCCAGAGGGGAGTTTGGGACTAGTGGCTTCTTGGCCTGCTTAGGAGATAAGATCTGGGTGATGTAACCAACTCGGTCGACTCCAGTGCCGTCCCTGTATGTGTTCCCAAACAGTCCCAGCCTCCAGAGCCGACGGCCCCGAATGGAATCCGTGTAGGACTTCGGAAATATCACGACATGGACGTTGAGGTCTGTCAGGACTCCTGGCCGAGTGTCTCCTGCGACAATGTTCCAGCTGATGTTGTGGAAGCTCGCTGTGGGCAGATTGGGATCAAGGGTTCCCCCGTGACCCCGGTTACTACTCCCCCCTTGACCTGCATTTGCTGTGATGTAAAAAAAAAAATACAAGTCTTGGTTGTAAAACCTTGAATGTCACTTCTTTTCAGCAAATTGTAGTATGCTTGCTTAACAAATCTTTCTTCATTTAGAACACTCAACTAACTTATATGGTACTTTTCTACTGGCAAGCTTTGCGGAAAACTGCAGATTTTTTCCACAAAATGTACCGACAAAATGGCCTTCTCATGGTATTTTGCTAATATTCAGTGAGCTGCTGTTATTTTGACCTTTCCAGAACAAGTTTGACATCTATGCAGAACCAAGAAGGATTTCAAAGTAAGAGAATGTTAAGAAAAAGATTGCAATTTTTGTCACTTTCATCTGAGATCTTCGAATTTACTTACGATCACATGTAACATATTGGCAGGAGACCACACTATCCGCTTTGCCAAGAGCAAGGCGGAATGCTGGCCAGGAGAATTTGTCTCTGCTAAATTCAATACAGAGATAAGGATAAGTCCCACAGCCTACATCATGCATTTCAAACGGCGTCGTAATGTTGAACACCAGAGGGTTTCCTGGTACAAGCGGACTGGAACGGTCAGTGGCAGAAAGAACATCTGGCCTCTCATCAAAACGAACTCCTGTGTTGTTAGAGACATCACTTCCAAACAGTCCGACCTTCCAGAGGTTGAAGCCTTCAAGAGCATCACTGGAATCATGAGGGGTGAGTATAACTGCAAGGTTGACCATTGATGGACCCTTTTGATTAACCGGGGTGCGATATCGGGTCCAGTGAAGGTTTCTGAAGGCAACAAAAGGTGCATCTGGTCCAGGCTCAGGTAGATGGCCACCACCACCTTGATTTCCCGCTCCACCACCATGACCTCCAGTTCCCCCACCATGACCCCCCATGCCACCACCTTGACCACCTGTGCCACCACCTTGACCTCCCATTCCACCACCTTGACCTCCTGTATCACCCCCAGTTTTACCAACATTAGCATCATTGCCACCATCACCGTCTGAATCTGCAAAAAAAAGAATGAAGCAAGTGTGTTGATTAAACATGCCACAAGTTCATGTACATGTACTTCAGCGTGCATATACATGTAAATGATAGAAATCTCTTATTCAAGAATTCTGAATGCCTTTGAGCTGAAATTGATACCTTGGCATGGCCACGGTTTGCACGAGGCTATTCGCTTTGTAACCCCGTCAGTATCATTTTGTGGAAGCGGTAGTTGAAAGTCTGGCCGTGGCGAATCCCCCTTGGTAAATTCAATACAAATGTAATTCAATTGCCCGCAACCTAGGCTTTGGACATTGAACCTGACATTGACTCCAAAGATTTCCAAAGGGGCGTCAGGATGCAGGGGAATAGACTGCTGCTCCACCGACAGAATCTGTTTCTGGTAGCGATACTTTGGTCCATACGGGTTGCTGTCATCACTTGCATATATACCAACGCGCCACAGGCCATCCCCAGTGATGACCTCGCTGCCTGGGTGTTCAATCGTGGTGATATTAATAAAGAGATCGCTCGCCTTGGGACTCTTGAACTTTTTAACTGAGAGACGCCACCGAAGTGATTCGATTCGCCCTATTTTTGTCCTGTCGCCACCACCATCACCGCCTTGGCCTCCGGACTGGCTACCTGGAAAGTAAAGAAAAGGGCAGAGAAATCAAACATGATATGCAGTAAATTTGCAAAGCATGGTTAGTTACAACACATTCAAGCCTTTTCTAAACTGAAGAACTGTTGACTTTCCCTCAAGCCACCCTCGGTTCTCAGGAAAATTTTCTAGTATTACCACAGTGTTTTAGGAAAAGTTAGGGGTCGGCCAAAAGTGGCAATTTAAATCATTTTTTTGGGGGGAAGGGGGGTTAAATTAAAACTTACCGCCAGGTTTTCTGCAACGAATCTGCTTACATAGGATCACTTCATCTGGGGTTGACGTTGTGTCAGTGTTTTCCGATACGAAGATGAAGTCAGGATTGGCTCCATTATCCTTTGCTAGCTCCAGACAGAGAAAGCCGTAGTCGGAACACCCCACACGAGTCACAGGAAACGTAGTCTCGATGTCATCAATCACCAGATTGCTACTTGGAGCAAATGTACGGGACGTATCTCGGCTGGTCAGAATTTGTCTATGGAAGCCCAGACGAGGGCCAGTGCCATTTTGGTTTTGGCTGCCAAAGAGGCCCACGCGCAGTAGATTGCTGCCAGCAACGTAGTCACTCGTGGGCATGATCTGCACATTCAGGTTGACAGTAACATTATAGAGCCCATCTGGGCGGCGACCACGTGCTCGAAGTCCCCAGCCAAACTGACCAACCACCACCCTCACGCGACCATCGTCTGGGATAAAAGTGAAGAAACAAGAGTCAGGTCCGAAACTGGTGCTTTAATTCATTGTTTCTCAATGCATATGTTGCCTGTCATTTTCTCCTTATTGATTTAGTTCATCGTCTAGTGTATCTGGATACTTTTTAAGCTATATTTTAAAGAGCTGTACAACTTTTACATGGACGTGTATTTTACTTTAGCATTTCGGGCAGTGTTGAGACTTCTTGTTTTTATCTGCCATGTGCTTCATTTAACCTCTGCGTAACACTTTTGTGCGAATGCATGATGAACATGTCTCTCTCTTCAGTTCAAAGCAAGCCATGGAACCTAATAGCTGTACCACATAAAAGGAGTAAAACCAGACTGAAATAATTACCAGGAAACTCGGGTTCTATTTCTTGGCATGGCACTTGTCGACAGGACATGAAGACACTAGCTTCCTCCGGTCCTGCGTTGCCATGGAAAGGGAAGGGAGGCTGAGGCGAGTCTCCCTTAGTGAACTCCAAGCAGAGGAACTTGTAGCGAGAGCATCCCACTGCTGCAGCGTCAAATTCGACCTCCGCATTCAGCACAATGGCCCTGAAATCGCAGTTTTGTTTAGAAAAGAATCGAGGTTATTTTCCCAATGTCTTTTGTGAGAATGTAGGTCGTAGAAAAACATGTGAAAGTGTATACATTTTTTTAGCACGCTACAGAATGTTGGCCTGTAGAACCGAGTCGATGAGAAGTCTCTTCAGAGGTTTGTTATTAAACATGACACAGTGTGTCACTTCTTACGTTCTTTGAAAAGTAGCTGTCACTATAATTGGTTGAGGTGATCCACTCGTTCATAGTTGGTGTTGATTGCTGTGTTAATCTGTCACGTTGTTGATTGCTATAGGTTATTCGATGACTGTAAATGACAGTCCAGTTGTCTAAGTTAACGTTTCTTCCTTGTTAAGAATCGCCTCACGAAGTGATGGAGTGGCTAATCAAATTGTTTGGTCGATCCTCGGGATGGCAAGTAATTGGTTTATCAAGTTATACCCAGACCGTCCAATACATGTCCTGTTCACATGGCATACTTGGTCAGATCAGATCCATTCAAGTCAGTTTGGCCAGTTCAGTTATTAAAGGCTTGTGAGTGAAGTTCTTATGTGGTCAGTTGGTCGTCAGTGCACTTCTGAGGTTGTACCAGCAATTGAAAAATCCAGTGTCTTTGAAATCATTTATTTGATGTATAAACTGGGCCTATTGACAGCCTACCCAGACATTTTACTTATTTAAGAATCTCAAGCCCTTATTCAAATAACATGGCTGTGGCTAGAAATATGCCTACGGAAGCCACCAGCTAGCGGCTTTGTATATTTCCAATAAATGTATGTGCCTCTTCGAGTCGCAGCTAACTTATTCTGTCGCGGCCTCACCTCCCGGCAGCCAGCGTGGTGGAAGCCTGTCCGTTGTCCAGGAGTTGATGGATGTACCCAAGCCTAGGGCCTGACCCATCGGCGAACTGACTCCCGTAGAGCCCAACGCGCCACAGATTCCGCCCGGATATGCTCTCTCCCGTGGAGTTCGACATGACCAGGACCTCAACGATGATCAGGGTGTTACCGGAGGGGATTGTCTCTTCCTCTTGTCTCTTTGGTTGGGCCGACCAGAACATCGAGTCAATTATGACACCTTTGGGGTCCACACAATAAAAATGTTAGTCTAAGAGAGGAACTACATCAGGTATTATTGTATTACCTTGTCCAATTCAGTCTCTGCATTTGGCATTCCAGACAGACATCTACGGGTTCTTTTCTTTACCTGTCCTGCAAGGCCCGTAATGTTTTCGTGTCAACAGGTAGCTCTCTGGATCTTCCCCGCACCGTCTCTCGTTGTCCAGGGCACATTCCGTACTGTAGGTCTCGCCGTCACTGCCGCACACCACGTGGCCCGACTCGGGGCACTCGTATCGGCAAGCTGGGGTCACAACCGGGGGATCTTCGGATGCCAGAAAGAATACAAATTCTCTCCTCAGTTAAGCCTGTTGGTGGGTTTACTGAATGAAAATGGCTAGTTCTTCGTTTCAAACCAATAGAGTACAAAAAAATGTAGGACAAATCGCAGCTGTACTATGTTGGGTCGAAATTGAGAAATGTCAACAATGAAGTTTTGCTGTGACAACTGCATCGATGCGTGCGTGCCCTGATGCATGTCGTATCAATCGAACTGTGTTCCGAATTTCCCGTCTGTGATGAAGATCGATTTTGTATAATTTAAAGTAAGAGGGAAACGAGTTTCAAGTGCTGTTTAAATCGTGAGAGAAGTTTTGAGTAGATGCAGATCTTCAGTGAAATTGTGAGATGGAGGTTTTGTCCTCTTGCGTATCATTGTGCTACTATGTAACAAGCAAAGTCGTGTGTACATAAATGCATCGTCATCGTGATTTATCAAGTAAAGTCATGTGTATTACAGTAGTAATGCTAAATGAAACGTCGTAACTTATAGTGAATTGCGTCCGAGCCGAGCCCCACTACCTAAGGTATATCCGGCGGTACGTACGTTGCGTTGCTGGAGCAAATTGGGCTTGAACGACTGGTTGGCGGGTAGACCTCTGCATATGCTGTCAGCCTATGTAAAATGTGATTTTTAAAGGTCATTTTAAATGTCTTGGACCAATCTGGCTGCCCACTGCTGTTAATAAACGAGGCTTTTACAGCAAATACCACTGTTCGAAAGGTCCTGGTAATATATTATAAGAGGCACTTGAATTGCACAACCAAAAGAGACTCCGGTCGAGCTGGCTTGCGGAGTGCATGTTGTGGGTATCTTTGGTCGGAATCAAAGAGGGTAATGTTTCTCTTTTCAGTCTCTTTGCCGTTAGAAGAAATGAAGTTTGAAAGATTATTTTAAATCTAAATTTTATGGCTTGTAGGGAAAAACGCTCACTTCAACACGTTTCCCACTCATCTGCCTTGCTCATTGTTACATTGTGCGATAATGAATTACTTCCACGCTCTAACTAGGGCCTACTGACATTTACCGTAATAACCTCGTTTATTGTCGGCGATGGGTAGTCGGATCGGGTGCTCCGACATACCTGTGACTGGGGGGCAGTCCATTGGCCAGCAGTTGATGGCCGTCTCTTCGAAGCCCATGGTCAGCGCGAAGTCCGGGCGCGGGTTGTCCCCCTTGCTGAACGCAGCGCAGATGTACGGCAGGTCGTCACAGCCGATGATGCTAATGTCGAAGTGGGCCACGATGTCCCGCACCACCATCTCCTGGCCGCCCACCAGCGGGGTGGACGCCTGCTGGGGGCTCAGGATCTGCGGCAGGTGGCCGATCTTGTCGCACCAGCCGTCATCGTAGCGACAGCCGAAGATACCCAGCTTCCACAGGCCCTGGCCGCTAATGCTCTGGCTGCCTGGGGCACTGATTACCAACAGCTCGAAGGTGACATTGGTTGGGCCTTTGTTAAGACCTGCGCCCACCAGGTCTACCTGGACGCCCAATAGTATCACCTCTGTAGGTCAGGAGGAATTAGAACTGAATTATAGTCGACATTTTCAAATGTTTAATGTCCCGGGAATGGACTAGGGAAAGAGTTTTAAGTTCACTTCGCCCCCAAAATCGGCCAGTCCCTTCTCAACACTACTCGAAATTTTGTTAGAATGAAAGAAAGAAATGAAAATGAAAGAAAGATTTTCCATTGAACGTTTCATATTTCTTAGATTTCTTAGATGTTTTGCCACCTTCATTGATAATATTTCTGAAGTCATCTATATACACCCTTCCTTTCCCATACTCGTTAAAGCTTAAGCTTCCAAAGTATCCTGTCTAGGACTGCACCAGATGGGGTTTGCCCTTTAAAAGGGTGGTCTCTCCCGTTTCTTGGCAGCAATATTGTGAAAGATCTGGACAGTATAGATTTTTCTCAACAGATATGTTCACAAAATCGCTGTGCCCAACTTAGCACGGTGCAACGTGTGTCACGACGGCATTGCCCCGCATCATTACCAAAATCCTTAGCACTAAAGCTTGGAAGATCTCCACATCTGAAGTGTCCCCTCTTGGGACGTCACTGGAAACACCTGTATCTGCAAAGCCTGGCCCGATACTAAATTAAGCGACTATCGATATAGGACCTGTTCTAAATGCCTTGTTTCGGTCAAGGGCGCTCTTTGCACTCGCCAGCCATAAATAAAGGTTTCCTCTGACAAGAAGGGGGAAACTTGAGGGCAAATTAACATTTTCTTAAAGACACAACGCAAGCGGAGGTTGAGCAGTTTATTATGCCTCATTTTGGCGTAACCGTAGGCCCTACAGAAATTCGAGTTCCAACGACGCTCTGTTGGCAGTAAAATTATAATGGGCTGACTTCGAAAGGCGGAGCGAATCAACGCACTCATGCTTGTACCTGTAGATGCCCCTCTGGATTTTGAGACTTGAAGCAAAGGTCATTATTGTGAACTTGCATGTACATGTAGTTTCCCTGGCGGCCCTTTGCCTTCGCCCACGGTTTCCTGCCCGCGGGTGAAAGGCACGCACTCCGCCCCCATCAAACCGCTTCAGGGTCGACATTGACTTGTTATTACGCCGTCGGCACAGCGCACCTTTCAACCATCGCGTTAACGTGTGGGTATGCGACAAGGGAATTCGGCACCGAATAGAGTGCATTACGACCGGCTTCGGTTTCAATAGCTCATGCCTTTAAGTTTTTTTTCACCTGTTGAGAACCGTTGCCCTCTCATCTGCTTTGAATATCAAAACAACTGGTTTTGTTCAAGGCTGTCGCACTCTCCTGTCACAATCAAACCAGTCCGAAACCTAAAGGTTCGTGACATTATTAGAGACAATCAAATTGAAAATTACATGTCGGATTTGGTTTCGTTTGTGTAAGCGATAAAAATTGTCGTTGGAGGCCTTGTTTACTTTCAAAATAGGACACAGATTGGTCGTCAAGACTCATAAGCCAGGACCTGTGTCTCCTAAGCCTCGAGGAAAGAAATCTGGAGAACTCGGTGAGAGCTGTTATGCTCCGAAAATGCAACTACGCAACTCAGGTTGTTTCAACAGTAGGCCCTATGTTCTTCGCTGATGTAGATTTAACACTTCTGTGTCTACGGTAACTTGTCTTCTTTTTCTACAGCCTTTGTAAGGCTTCATGCTTGTCCTGTGAATCAAACGCTCTGCTAATACGCTTCAAAGCCGAAGTGTTAATTGGAAGAACTTTTCATTCTGGACAGGTCATGATGTCATTTCGACACCTTTTCTCCAGTATTTAGTATAGATAGATAGAGACAAAAACCCTCATACGAACTACCCGTGCTTGCTATGGTGGGGAAAATATTACAGCTTATAACCGCCCAGTTATAGAGGCTATCCGTTCCGTTGGCTCGTATGTATACATACTAGCCGTAGTCAGATAATTCGGACGTGGCCACGGCTTGAATTCGAGCATCTTTCTACCTGTGCAGGTGACTCAACTTTTTTTGACGAAATTCCGGGAGTAATTCAACCCATCGAGCGCAGTTTACCCGCAGGACGACCACCAAATTAGTTTAGTACAGGATTTCACGTCTGACTTCAGCCCCAGGACAACGTGCTAACGAACAGTTCGACACTCGATTATCGGCTACTCGATCCTTGGCTCGTACCTTTTCGGCATTCCCCGTTGGCCTGCATCGATACCATCGGGTTGTCACAGGCGGCGTTATCGAGCCGGCAGAGGTTGTCGTACGTCACGCCATCCGATCCGCAGACCGGCTCGTAGGCGTTGCCGCACGGACGCTTGCATCCTGCATTTCGGGTGCAGGAAAAAGTGGGAAGAGAAACCATTCAAAGTCAGTTAAGTGGTTACGCCCTCTGAGTGGTACTCAGTGAATAGCAAAAGCCCCACCGCACCCCCAGGCTGGAGATAGCTAATTTTCCACTTTGTAATTAACTCCCCCATCCCTCTAAACCCATCCAATGAACTCCCTACTCCACCCACTTTACTTCTTTGCCGCAAAACGTTTTCTCTACAACAAAACGGGGTTTGAGGTTCCTTTTCACCGAGGTCAAGGGTCTATATTACTGAAATGCTTTGCGATAATGATTAGCTAAATACACCAAGTCAGCTACAGTGTTTGGATAAAATTGCATTTGGCCCGTGATTGGTGCCTTTCTGTTTCTGAAGTCTTCTCGGTGTATTCTGTGACCAGCTGCGCATGCTGCACAGCTCTGGTTTCACCGTGATGTCGGGTCTCACCTCGGCATGGTCCGTTCCTGACGCGATACAAGCTTCGGTCCTGACATCGCCTGTTTTCTAGCTTGCACTGATTCTTGTATGTTTTCCCGTCAGAACCGCAAACGGGGCTCTCCCTCTTAGGACACCTCCTCGTACATCCTAAGGGGGGTAAATAATTGGGCACAAAATCCGATGGGATTAATGGTAAATAACATACGTAATTGAATGTTCCTTGATAGTTATCTTGAGCCATTTCTGGTTATGACACCAAGGATTCCCTCAAAGGCGCCCTGTGGCTCGCAAGCCTGAAGAAACCTGTAAAACAGTCACAGTTTCAGAGGTGGGAGGAAAACCTCAGAGGAATATTCAGGGTAAAACCCATGAAATCAGGTAGGGACTGAAAACCCAATTTACATGTGGACTGGGGCCGGGAATCGAACCCGGACCGCAGAGGTGGAAGGCCAGGGAAGAACCACCACGCCAACACGACTCCCCAACTGACTCCTGGCTTTTCATATATTTCAAGCATTGCTTGCGTTTTGCAGTCCAGCAGCTCTGTCAAAAGCGGCAAGAAATAAGCATGATAGTTTTTTACACAATTTTCCAGGTGAGTACCGTAGTTGGTTCAAAGCCGCCAGTTTGAATGGTAGCCTATGGTTTTACTTCTTCAAATAATGCATTACTTTGAAAAGCCAGCACTTTGTGACTTGCTCATTGCAAAGAAAAAGAAAAAAGAAGTCTCATTAATATGCCGTTTACCCGCCAATGTGTTTTGCCCCGAGGCATTCCGTGTGCTGAATCAGCATACTTTCTGTGATTTTTTTCTGGTTAAATTAGACCACTAACAGCAAATCAATAACAAAGTCTCAGGACAAAGGGAAACAAACGGTTAGCCACCTCAGGTCTACGCATTCCTGACCAAAGAAATTGTTGGAATCGTCTTTTACTAGGGACGCAGGACCCAGCTTAAATTGGAGAACGCAACAGAGAATGCCCCTTCCCATACGTTCCGTCACCTGGGCACGTATGTTCATGCCTTATAGAGACAACGTTCATTATAAGCGCGCATGCGCTCTTCATTTTTACGCAGACAACAACGGTTTTTCGTGCTCTCAGACGACGTTGTAGCGCAGAATTTTTCAACGACCGACCTCGTAAAATACCAAAGTGAAGAAGCATAAATAACCTTTTGGAGGATCTAACCACGACACCACAAACAACACACAATTTTCCTCCATTACTGATGTTTTTAAATAAGAGTAAATATCAGAACAGTATAAAAAAGTGGATTTTACGGACCCTTTACAACACTGAAAAAATCGAAACTGCAAAATGTTGCACTAATTTCATTAATGAATTTTTAATACAATGTAAATTTTCTGAGACAAAGATTTCGCCCCAAATTAAAGATTCATCCTTAATTTCAGACATTTTTTTTGAATCCGCCGGATAAATTTTTCATTAGTAAGTCATTTTAAATCACCCCAAAAAAATCGTATCGATCCGACGGTGCACGAAAATTCAAAGCCATTTTGTAAATTGTATCCATTTTCATTACCAAACTGGTATATCCAACATGATTTTCTGTTAGATTGTACCGATTTGGTAGGTACTGATACTAGTTTTTAAGGTAGAATCGTTAAATTAGTGACGTTTCCTGTTCCTCACTTTAACTGCTGTGAA